AAGCAGGCTTCCCGCGGAGCAGGGAGCCCAATGCGGGGCTCGATCCCAGGACCCTGGGATCATGACCTGAGCCGAAGGCAGATGCTTTAACGACTGAGCCACCCAGGCGCCCCTCCTTGGTCTTTTTTATATCAAATATACTAGAAAAGCAACAGAAGGATGATTTGATGGCTCAGGTGCCACAGTTTCTATGGTCAGTGTATCTTGAGTCTGTTTTTTTCTGCAAGACCAGCCATTAATCGTAGTCTCTTGTGAATGTATTTTATTCTCAATATTTGTTTTTAAACATGTTGTAGTTTACAATATATACATATAGGGAAATATGATAAAATAACTGTAGATATAAGAGAGAGTGAGCATATATGTTTCCATTTTGAATATAAAGTACAGTATTAACAGTTCTATTTGAGAGTCTCAGTCACCACTTATAATCTGGATTGCAAGACCAGAAGGCTCAGGGAGGCTCCCCTTCCTTCAGCCTCAGTGGGTGAGAGCAAGAATGTAACTACTCTTGGACACTAATGACTTAACATCATTCTACTTGTTTCAAAACTACCTGAGAGAAGGCATCCTCTGGATCATTTGGGTAGTAGGACTAAGGGTATTTCTCCTGTGTGTTGGTGAAACTACTTCACCATGCCTTGCTTTCAGTGTTGGTAGGCATTTGAGCACCTACTATATTGTTATAACTTGGGCTATATAAAGCAGTTATTTGTTTGAGATACATTAGATGTGTAGTAATACAGGAAGTAGTTTTATGCCATGCTTAAGATTACGTACAGATCTGTAATCTCTTACCTGAAACTCCTTGGGGCTGAAGGGGTTTCAAGAGTTCTACAATATAGTACAAATATATTACCTGATAATATTCTCAGTGGATTCTAAATAGCACTCCATACACACTAAATATTTTTGCAGGAAAGCATATGGATATTCCTACTCGGTACAGGTAAGTAAAGACTGCAGATGGCCTCGTGTCTATCTGAGTCAGATCTCACCACCAATTACTTGTGTTGTCAAGCCTTTTGGACTTAGGAATTATGAATAAGGGATTGTGAGCCTATTACAAAAAGGGGTCGGTCTCTCTTTGCAATAATTTATACGGAAATAATCATTCCAAACAGATCTGTCAAAAGAGATAAAAGAGAATAGATGAATGGCTCTCTTTTGTAAAACTGCTTGTTAAATTTTCTTGTTGAGGAGTGTTCCATTTTCAAGAGGCCTTGTTTAACCTGTTGGTTTATTTATAACTTTAGCTTCCTGGAGAAGAGCCCATTGGAAGAGTAGAACCAGTGGGTAATGCTCCTTTGTTGGCATTAGTTCACAAGATGAACAACTGCCTCAGCCAGATGGAGCAGTTTCCAGTCAAAGTACATGACTTCCCCAGTGGAAATGGGACCGGAGGCAGGTAAGGATCATTGCCTGCGCATACCCTTGCCGTTGGACCCTCCGCTTCATTTTGTTGAGGGAAAGCGGCAAGAGGTCTGGTAACCTCTTAAGCTGCCCGAAGACCGTTTGGCTATAATGACGGAAGAAAACCACTTCTTATCTTTAAAATCCCCCCATGTGTTTTAAACGTGATGTTTTGGAAATATATAAGCCAGTGACTGTGTTGGCAAGCTGTAATAGGCTTAGTGTTCCTTAAATTGATAAACTTTAATATATATTGCTTCTCCCTGTGAATTTTATAAATATGCATAATCAAATATTTGCATTCTGTGCAATAATGTGATTTCCTATGTGATGTAAGTGGTTATACCTTTGGTGGGTTTTAACAAATAAGTGTATATTTTGAAGTTTTCTTGTTTCATTGAAACTTTTATTTTTTCCCGTAATAAAGTAGTTTTACTGGACTCATGAAATGCTACAGAAAGAATGCACTGTAAAAGTTCATTATTGTATTTTACGGGATGTTACAAGGTTTCTGGAATATTATGACTAGAAGCCTACAAAATAAGAAATTAGTTTCGTTTTAAAATACACAGTCTGATGTGTTTTGAAAACATATAAATTTTTTATTGAATTAAAACTATGCAGTATTGGACAGATGAAGGGATCTGTTGTGCTAGGGTTTTTTCTGGCTTTGAAAATTAATACAGAATGTGATAATCAGTTTTGATCATTATCCTGTCCTGGAAAATTTTATGAAATACAGGAGCATTTTCATCTATGGCTGAGAAAACCATGAAGTTTTTCATTTTAACGCAGATTTGTATAAAATATGTATGTTTACATATGTATGTATCCTGTCTAATGGAATATTCTTTCCTATACTCCTATTTGCCTGCCTTACGGAATCTTACAGATAACTGCATTTTAAGCCTGTGTCTCACTGTTGTCAGCCCTTTCCAGAAATGAGCAATTAAAGATTATTACCAGGGTTAGACTGGCATAGCTATGAAACTGCTTCATTCAAATGAATGTAGCAAAGTAAATTTTAAAGGTTACTTTTTAAAGTAATTTTGAGGCAGAAATGTTTAAAGCAAAAAAGAGGGCTTTTTCCTTTGTTTTTAATACCATAGAATTTAGTTAGACAGTGGCAAAATACTGCAGAAGTGAGCGTGCTCAGATGGTTGAGGAATTTTTAGTCTAGAGAAATAGTTAAATCTCAGTGGTGAGGATTTCTGCTCACATGGATTTCCCCGTATGACCGAGATAGAATGATGATTTCATGTTTTCATATGCATGCATACACACCCTCTTTTATTTTTAACTTTATAACAACTTTCACTAAATAACTTGAATTGCTGGCTTGACTGTTTACATAACTGCTAGGTAAGTGCTCATTTTGTGCCTTAAGAAAATGCAGTTTGTATTGTCTTGCTTTTGTTTGAATAAATTATGTTGATTTTGAAAATAATAGAATAACTTTTTTTCACAAATTATCTTGAGCTTTTCTCTCAACAGAGGATCACAGGCTTTAAAATTTTTCAACACACATCAGTTAAAATGCCAGTTACAAAGACATCCAGACTGTGCGAACGTGAAGCAGTGGAAAGGCGGGCCGGTCAAGATTGATCCCCTGGCTTTGGTACAAGCTATCGAGAGATACCTTGTAGTTAGAGGTACTTTCCCTAGATGTGTGTTTTGTGTTTATATGTACATTGGGCTGGGAATATTAGGGAATGTGGAAACGATTTCCCTGTCTATTGCTGCTTCTGTTAAAACCTAGCATTGGGAACTTGGGTTCCCGTCATTCATATTCTACATAGCCTGTGGAAACGTGGTAACACTTGGGACGGGTTGATGGCTTACTTCAGTGATGAGTTCATTTATCTTGTTGGAACCTAATGTAACATGTAGAAATGGTGCTTTGTAGGTGACAATTTTCTTAGCTCTTTCTGCTTCATCGGTCACAGTTTAATATGCACGTTTTTCTAAGAGTATGTTAGTTTAACCAATACGCGTGGGCTTTTCTTTGCCATGGACAATTGCTAGGAGTTTAACAGCCTTCTTGGGTCCTCAGGGTATGGAAGAGTACGAGAAGATGATGAAGACAGTGATGATGATGGCTCTGACGAGGAAATAGACGAGTCTCTGGTAAGGTGCTATTCTCACCATGTTGTCATGCACACAGTTCAGTGCCTGGAGCTTAAATGGGTTTTCTTTTGCTTCATTCAGGCCGCTCAGTTCTTAAATTCCGGCAATGTAAGGCACAGGCTACAGTTCTACATTGGAGAGCATTTGCTACCGTATAATATGACCGTGTATCAGGCAGTCCGGCAGTTCAGTATCCAGGCCGAGGACGAGCGGGAGTCCACGGACGATGAGAGCAACCCTCTGGGGAGAGCTGGTATTTGGACAAAGACTCATACAATATGGCAAGTCTGAAACTGACTTCGTTTGCTTTGTCATCAGCTTCGATAAATTGTTTGTGTGTTTTGGAATTCATATTAATGGCTGGCTTACGTAAGGAAAGGGGACCCAAATCCTACATTTTATTATTAAAAGCCACTTCAAATATTTTATCTGTGTACATGAATGCATGCATGTGCACACGTGTACGTGTGTATTTGCCTTCATTATGTCTCCGAGAAAACATGTGCTCGTGGGCAATAATCATAGTTTAAGTCAGCTCTTTAGATTCGTTTCAGGTCTTAAACAAGAGAAAAACGTCTCCAGAAGATTACATTCCTTTAGGTAATAAGAAGCTTGGCATCTTTGTGCCCTTAGAGGCATTTGGATGCAGCTTTCTGCATTGTTTGTTAATGTCTGCTACTTAGATTTAAAGAGAGCCAGTCTCTGGGTCGCCTGGGTAGCTCAGTCGGTTGAGCGGCCGACTCCTGATCTCTGCTCAGGTCTTGATCTCAGGGTTGTGAGTTCAAGCCCCACGTTGGGCTCCACATAAAAAATAAATAAAGAGAGCCATTCTTCTGTGAACCACCCGCAGAGTTCCTCAGGTGGCCCCTCCTGGGATAGTGGACTCTTTGTGGTCTCTTCTCGGAACAGTGCCATTGGTAATTCTCCAAATCCATAAGTAGGGAGAAACAGGATAGATCTCAGAGTTCTGGTAACTCTGGTGTCTGTGGGTCACACTTCGGCCCCTGTAGAATAGTTTTTATTTTTAAAATCTACATTTAGTTTATATACTCTCCAATCAATTTAGGTACAAACCCGTGAGAGAGGATGAAGAAAGTAATAAAGATTGTGTTGGTGGTAAAAGAGGAAGAGCCCAAACAGCTCCAACAAAAACATCCCCTAGAAATGCAAAAAAGCACGATGAGTTATGGCATGGTAAGTTGGTACATGGGAGGGAAAACAAATTGCCGTGGGGCAGTAGCCTTCTTGTCATGGAAGTTTTAAAGGAGTGATTTATATCTAGCAGTGAAACCCTTGGATATAATGTAGAAAAGATGAGATTACCACAAATGAAAAATTTAGTACCTGCAAAATTAAATTTGGGAAGAAAATTGGGAAAAACTCATACTCGTTCCATGAAAAATTTATGTTTTCATGAAGGCTAAAACAAATTTCATTAGTAGAACACATTTACTAAAAAGACTGATCATGGTCAGGCAGGCCCTTCACTTTTGTCATTTATAATAATCTAACAATTATAGGGGGAATGAAAAGTTTTGCCAGGTAGTATAATGAGTACAGAACGGAGTAGCATGTCCCAGTTGATTTCTTTTCTTTTGTAGTATTTCCTTCCAGTCCGAGTGTGCTCCCCCAGCCACCCCCCTCCGCCATTTATGTGATGGTAGCAGTGCTTTAGCTTTGGCTCAGGGTCATTCTTGGAGACCATCCCTGTCCGGGAGTTCCAAACAAAATGGTGTTAATTGCTGGAATTTTTTCTGCTCCACAGAAATAAGGACATTATAATAGTGTTGTGTTTTGTTTTTCATAAAACTAAGTTCTATTATAAAGGGTTTTTATTATGAGGTTTTTATGTCTATGTTTTTGATGTTAAAAATTGCCCTTTCTTTTATGGTAGTGATAGTGTTGTGATTTTTAATTCCTAAAAGTAAATGGCAACAGTTCAACCCCTGACCCCCTCCCCAAGCTATTACTTAGTGAAATCTGAGAAGAATCATAGATCCCCTTGGAAACTATCACAATCTTTCCTATCCTAAGCCTTGGATTAGATAACCAAATCTCTAAGATTTACAGTTGGGAATATTTGTCTATTTTACGTGGCCATTTTAAGCTGGATATAAAAATTAAAAATCCAGGGAATTTATATAAAACTGAACTTAAATTTAAACATTTTGTCTTTATTCTTCTCTGGCCGTTTTATTCTTAGCCGTTGCTTCTGTTGAAAAGAAGAAATGGGAAATGAGTCAGTTTTTCTCCTTTACAGTTTATTTGGATATGGGAGGAAAGCAAAATTTGCATAAGCCTGTATGATTTATGCGTAAGATAAAGGGAAAAATGTTCAAGCTATCAATACTCTAAAGGGATACCAAACATTAGAGCCTCACAGCTTGTGGTTACTATTTTCGGGGTGATAGATGACACCAGCTCCTCGGCACAGCCTTTCTAACTTTGATCACACCTTACCTTTGATCTTTTGCCCTCTAGATGGAGTGTGCCCATCGGTATCAAATCCTTTAGAAGTTTACCTCATATCCACACCACCTGAAAATATAACTTTTGAAGACCCGTCATTAGATGTGATTCTTCTTTTAAGAGTTTTACATGCCATCAGTCGATACTGGTATTACTTGTATGATGTGAGTAATGTGGCCTGCTTATGGAGTTTCCCATTATATGTTGTGCATGGCACGTTACCTGTAGTTACTGTCAGTGGTTGATGAATTTTTGTTGTACTAGAAACAGACCAAATGATTCAGTTAAATGTAGGGATCATAGCCCAGTGAAATACAGCGTACTTACCAGTTGGAGCTTCTCCCCCACTTTCTGTTGCTGGCCTATATTCTTGGATTAGTGTTCTTCCTAGCTGTGACTTGTATCAAGTTAGGCTACAACGTGAAGAACAAGTGTGAATTCATAGTTAGAATTCTTTCAGTACATTTAAGCAAAAGTTCATTTGTCTGAGTTGAAATATATATTAAGTAAAAAGTCAAGTGGAAGTTGAGTGCTACTTTTGACATTTATATAATATAGGGAAGAATGACAGAATTGACCTTGCACAGAACATGAGCTGTCACATCAGTGATTGGGTCAGTACTAGTGGCCTGTAGGGTTGTGGTATTTGAGCTATGCATTGTAGAAATTGTCATTTAGGTTGAGGCACTCGAGTGAGAAGCTATATATTGTATATTGGGAACCAGGTGAAATCTAGGCACTCTGCATACATTTTTGGAGATAAAGAGTTAGTGAATATAATCCTAATGTTTTACTACATGTAGACCTTTTTTTTTTTTTTTTTTAACGTTTTACAGAATGCAATGTGCAAGGAGATTATTCCAACTAGTGAATTTATTAACAGTAAGTTGACAGCAAAAGCAAATAGGCAGCTTCAAGATCCTTTAGTAATCATGACAGGAAACATCCCAACATGGCTCACTGAACTAGGAAAAACCTGGTAAGATGATCATTTCTGAAATAGTGGCTTGGGAGTATGTTATTGTTGTGTTGGTCTTAATATATTTTGTTTCAAAAACAGTCTTCACTGAACCTATTTGAATGTGTTTAAGTAACATCATATTTGATCACAGCTTGCTTAATATTTAGTGTAGCTGTCTATCTAGAGGAGGCGCCTCTAGCTGGGGTTAATATAAGATCTACTTGTGACAGTATGTGTCTGTATATATGAAACAGGAAAGTATGCAAGGATATTTAAAGAGCTTAAAATCCTCTGTCTTCATAAAGTTGGACTCCAAAGGTATAGTTGCTTGATTTTCTGAGCCTGTTTGGGTCCAGACTTAAATTCTCAGAGACCATAGAACTGTACGGATCAATACAGTAGTCAGTAGCCACATACATCTTTTTATATTTAGATCAAAGAAAATTAAGTAAATTAGAAATTAGTTTTTAGTCACATTAGCCACATCCTTATGTGGCGCCCCATGTGCAACAGAACAGATGGTAAATATTGGCATCACCACAGGAAGTGTTTTTAGCAGTTCCGTGTCAAGAACTTCCAAAATCCTACATCAAGAGGCAGTAGAACCTAATACTACTGTGGGGTTCCTTCTTTGGAAATCAGCATGGCTGTTGGGCTGGTTTGAGTGACTTAGCAATGCCGGGGCTGGGAGGAAAATCATGAGCTAGTAAAGCCATTATTATTATTTCTGTGTATGTGGTACAGGGATGGCTTGGCAGTGTCATGAAGCGGTGATCATATTTTAAAAACAGGGTTTGCTAGACAGGTTATACTTCCTGAAGGTCTTTGGGTAGATTAAAGATCTTAAATAGACCTGATTTAAAGTATAGGATTTTTAATAGTTGAATTTCATATTTCACAGAGAAAAGCTGCTTAATGCATTATTACTTGATCACTTAGAGATTTCATCAAGAATTACGAAATTTCTTCAAAATTAGTTTGCCTAGACCGTTTTTATTGGTTCTATTTATAATTCTTATTTCTGTATCATATCAAAAGTTGTTTCTAATGTAGGGGTTTGTATGGTTTCTGATTCTAATTCAGATAATCTGTGTTGCATCTTTTTACAGCCCATTTTTCTTCCCTTTTGATACCCGGCAAATGCTTTTTTACGTAACTGCATTTGATCGGGACCGAGCAATGCAAAGATTACTTGATACCAACCCAGAAATCAACCAGTCTGATTCTCAAGATAGCAGAGTTGCACCTAGATTGGATAGAAAAAAAGTAAGTTTCTCCCCCAAAATATGTAAAGGTAAATTGCACCGAGCTTTTGACAATAACGGGAACACTAGAGATGTGATGCATGGGAGCAGTGCCTGGTGGCGCAGAGCCGTCCCTCAGTCACAGCCGTCTCTCTGCTTGTCTGTCTGCTCCCCTGGAGCAGCCGGGCTTTCCTGTCAAGCTCTTGGAACCAGGCTGTCTGTGATTCTTCATCCTGAAGTTAAGAGTCCTTTTTTCCCCCGTTTCTGAAATAATTTCTACAGTTCTTTTTTTCTTGGTTGCCGTTAACTCTTGTGCCAAGAAAGAATCCTGTTTTCTCTCAGGAAGGGTTCTTTTTTTTTTTAATTAGGAACTCACACTGTAGCCTCCCTTTTATAATTGATCCTTTATGCAGTAGGTAGAATTAACCAGATCCACTTTCTTCCCTTCGCACATCACTCTGATCAGAGATGACCGAAACGAGATTCTTGATGGGATTCCCGGCTGGAGCCTAGTCAGCCCCTGTGTTGCTGATCTCAGCTTCCTGGGCTTCTCATCTTGGCTCCACATTCAGAGCTATGACCGCCCCACTCTGAGCCATTCCAGCGGGGACCCCATCCTCCATTTCTGACACTGCACCACCTTTTACTTCTGATGTCTCTGTTCGTCTTCCTCTTTTGTGCTGAGGATTCTTACTCAAGTCTGTCTTTCCAAAACCTGTAACTCTAAGACTCCTGAGAGCCATTAGTAATGACATTAAAAGAGGGGTTAGAAGGAATGAGAAGCAAAACAAAAAAAACCTTAACACTTTTTGTCTGTTCTGCAAAGCCTTGCTGTTTCTAGATTTGTATCATTAGGATTGTGTCAGTGGTGGTGTTGGTGGAGTTTGGAAATCTAGCAGAACCTGTCTCGTCCCCAGGAATCTCAGTAGTAGATGTTTGTAGTTGTGCTTGTAGGATCTCTGCAGGTCGGGGCCAGGAGGTTTCAGCTCACCTGTCTCACCTGCCATCCCCATACCGATCTCTCCATATGTAACTGTAAATGTGCCCAGGGAGATGCCGTGCAGCTGGAGCTCTGACTTGCACTGCTGTCTGGCAAGGTTACAGAGAGCCTTTCTTATCCACCTTGAACTTTGTGAACCTGCCATGGGCTCGATAATATTTACACTTAACTTCTAGTTTTGCTGTCCATGTTTGTAGCAATGCAGCTACTTCTTAACCTTTTCTGAGGTGTGCTTTTATAGAAATAGTCTTGGGAAGTGTGGGTGGCTCAGCCAGTTCAGCGTCCGACTCTTGGTTTTGGCGGGCTCCATGCTGGGCTTGGAGTCTGCTTGAGATTCTCTCTCTCCCTCTCCGTCTGCCCCTTCCCGCACTTGAGCATACACATGCGCACTGTCTCTTGTGCGCGCTCTCTCAAATAAATAAATTTTTAAAAAAATAGTCTTTTAACAGTTGATTTTTGGTTTTTTTTCTTGCACTGCGAGAAATGCCACCTGTTTATTATTAAAGTGTAATATGAGCATCATTTCCTCACATTTGTACTTTGTTTTTTAGCGTACTGTGAACAGAGAGGAGCTGCTGAAGCAAGCGGAGTCTGTGATGCAAGATCTGGGTAGCTCCCGGGCCATGTTAGAAATCCAGTATGAAAATGAGGTGAGCTCATGAGCGTGGATGGTTTTTGACTTAATTTGTGCCTTCAATAAGACTTCGTTGGTCCCCTGAAATTCTAAAAGACAATTGGAAATTTATCTAAAACTGGAGATTTGCTCTGTTTTGGATGATCTTGGAAGGTCGAAGCTCTCCGGTTTCCAAGATTAAGTTGTATAGGAGAAGACGGGGTTTTTTCTTGCATAAGAGCAAACGTTTGTATAATTGTTAGGTTGATAAAGTGAAAGGGTGTTTTAAGCATACCTTTCAAAATGTTTGAACTGCTTTTAAAAAAAATCACAGATATAACCTGTATAATAAATGCACACTTAAAACATGTACAGTTCTAGTTGTACAAATTCTGATGTCCTGATGTATTCGGTCTGGAATCACTACCACATCAAGATCAAGAAAAAAATCCCATCACCACAAACTGCTCTCTTAGACCACTTTGTGGTTCGCACCCTCCCCCTGACCCCCAGAGAACTGGCGTCTATTTTCTGTCCTGTAGTTTTGTCTTTCTTACAAATGCCATAGGAGGTGGAATCCTACAGTATGTAGCCATTGGTGTTACTCTTCTAGCACTTAGTATAATGCTTTTGAGATTCATCCATGCTGTTGCAGGTATCGTTTGTTTCCTTTTATCACAAATAATAAGAGTCTGTTGTATGGATACTTCAGGAAATGTTTCATCACCAGGTGATGCACATTGTAGTTTCCAGTTTTTGACACTTATATGAATAATGCTGCTGTGAACATTTGGGTACATGTCTTTGTGTAGACATATGTTTTTATTTCTCTTAGGTAAATTCTTCAGGGATGAATTGCTAAGTTACTTAGTAAGATATGTTTTTACTTTATGAGAAACACCAAACTGTTTTCCAAGTAGCTTTGTCATTTCCCATTCCCACCAGCGATGGAGCTTGGGAGTTTCAGTTGCTTGCCATGCTCACCAGCCCTCAGGTCTTATCTTTTTAATTTGGGGTATTCCAGGGGGTTTATAGTGGTATGTCATTGTGTTCTGTTTGCATTTTTCTGATTGTTTTACTAACCATTCATATATCTTCTCTGGAGAAGTGTCCATCCATGTTTCCATCATCGTGTTTTATGATTAAGTTGTTAAAGAGTTCTTTATTACTCTGGATACAGGTTCTTTTTGAAATAAGTGTTTGCAAATGTTTTCTTCCAGTCTGTAGTTTATCTTTCAGTTTCCTCATGAAATGTCTTTGGAAGAGCAGAAGTTTTTAATTTTGTTGAAATCCAATTTATCAAAAAAAATTTTTTTTCTGGTTTGTGCTTTTTTTATCCCAGGAAATTTTCCCCTCACCCTTGGTTTTCAGAGATTTTTTTTCCGCCATGTGTTTTTAGAAGTTTTATAGTTTGGCTCTCATACTGAGGCCTATAATCCATTTTTAGTTATATATAGCGTAAAGTAAGGAGTTAAGGATATTTTTGCTTTTTTCTAAATATGGGCTGTTTCATTTTTCCAGCACCATTTGTTTGAAAAGGCATACTTCTCCCATATTGAATGACCTTGGCACCCTTTTTGAAAATGAGTCTATTGTGAATATTTGGATCTATTTCTCGATTTTCTGTTGTTTTTTATTAATCTATACTGTCTTGATTACTATATCTTTTTTTTTTTTTAAAGATCTTATTTATTTATTTGAGAGAGAGAATGAGAAAGAGAGAGCACATGAGAGGGGGGGAGGGTCAGAAGGAGAAGCAGATTCCCTGCTGAGCAGGAAGCCGGATGCGGGACTCGATCCTGAGACTCCAGGATCATGACCTGAGCCAAAGGCAGTCGCTTAACCAACTGAGCCACCCAGGCGCCCATTGATTACTATATCTTTATAGTTAGTCTTGAAGGCAGGTAGTGTGAGTCCTCCAACTTCTTTGTCAAAGTTTTGGTTATTTCCCATTCCCCAGTATTTCCACGTAAATTTTATTTTATTTTATTTTATTTTTTTTAAGATTTTATTTATTTATTTGAGAGAG